AACAAAAAAGCAAAAAGCTGCCTGAACTTTGCAGTAATGTCAGATTGCTATAGAAGTTCCCCAATCTGCCCAATTTCTGCATTTTCTTACTGCAGACTATGGTTAGACAGTGGGGAAACCAGCCGCCGTGTGTAGGACATATCTGCAGTATATGAAGTTAGAACATCATGCGGTTTGTAACGCCAGGCTCTGCAGGGATGTGATGAGAAAAGGTGTTTCATGGCCCAATGCGTTTGGGAAATGCTGAGAAAATAATGCAGAAATTTCAGAGCCAGTCATCTGGTGATATGGGGAGTAACATGCAATCTTTTTTGAACTTATTGGACTACAGAACCACCGCTCCTATTTTTGGTAGTTCTTCTCTTTCATGTCTTTCTCTTAACTCTCATGTTTCATAGATTGCAGTTTGGGAAACCACGATGCACTGAAACATAGCAGCTGCCTGTTTTCTGGGAGAGAATATTGAAGGCATGCCTCCTAGGCCAATTTGGCATTTAGAATACTGAGATGGGCCGCACTGCAATCCGTGGATGTGTCTGTGTGCCCACATCTCTTCCTGCAACTTTACTTCATCAGGAAGCAAAACTAACCCAGTGTTTTCCTCTCCCTTATGCCAACTGACGTCACTTCTAACCTTGCCTCCTTTCTGTGACCTGCATTCCTGGTTCCAATGAAAGCTCCCGTGTTGGCCAGGCGTAGTGGCTAATGCCTGTAATCCCAGCACTTTGAGAGGCCGAGGTGGGCAGATTGCCTGAGGTTGGGAGTTTGAGACCAGCCTGACCAACATGGAGAAACCCCATCTCTACTAAAAATATAAAATTAGCCAGGTGTGTGGTGCATGCCTGTAATCCCAGCTACTCGGGAGGCTGAGGCAGGAGAATCACTTGAACCTGGGAGCAGAGGTTGCAGTGAGCCGAGATCATGCCATTACACTCCAGCCTGGGCAACAAAAGTGAGACTCCATCTCAAAAAAAAAAAAAAAAGCTCCTGTGCCCTGCTACCCTTCTCCTTTCTCCAGTTCAGCTCACCCAGCCCCTTCCTACAATGGATGTCCCTTGCCCTTTCCTGCTGTGCACATGAATTCACCATTTGCCTGTCAGTAGAAGGCATCTTCATCCATAAATCCTTCCTTTACACTGCTGCCAAAGTCAGTGATCTTCTAAAGCCACGCCTCTAACCACACCATGCAAGGCTTAAAACTCTGCCCTACCATCCAGGTACAGGGTCCTTTCGACACCCAAGAACATGGTGTCCCTCTTCTGCCCTGCGCCTGCCAACCCTGAACCATCCCCCACCACCATTGTGTGGTCACGTGAATGCTTTGGGTCTCAGCTTCGCCCCAGGGGTAGGATATCAGCTAAAGGAGCAATAAGATAAAACAAGGAAAAGAAGAGGGCAGGGCATTTTGAGATCAGGCTTCCCAGCACGGTTTCTGGGGCAGCCCAGGTTTCTGTGAAGGTGAAGCATTGTGGGAGGGAGGGAGAAGTGTGTGGCTTCTAGTTCCAGCTTGGAGTTGGACAGAGGAGGCAGTCAGTAAGAAGGGGCGATATGAAGAGGAGAGGAGTCCTTGGGAAGGATGTACTGACTAGATTCATTAAGAAAAAGGAGATACTTCACATCCTAAACTTGCAACCACACACAGCACGATAGTGCCGTCTTCTGTATAAGACTACGTGTACTTAGTCATCCAAATTCTCACTTATTGGCTGCGCAAAGATGCTTCAGAAACTAAAGTACAATTTGAGACAATTTTTTAAAAACTACTTACTACCTCAGCCAGGTACGATGGCTCACACCTGTAATCCCAGCACTTTGGGAGGCTGAGGCGGGTGGATCACGAGGTCAGGAGTTCAAGACCAGCCCGGCCAAGATGGTAAAATCCCATCTCTACTAAAAATACAAAAAACTAGCCCGGCATGGTAGTGTGCACCTGTAACCCCAGCTACTCTGGCAGCTGAGGCAAGAGAATCGCTTGAACCTAGGAGGTAGATGTTGTGGTGAGCAGAGATCACACCACTGCACTCCAGCCTGGGTGACAGAGCGAGACTCCGTCACAAGAAAAAGAACGTACTACCTCATGTAGGCCTTTATTTCTACTTCTTGACCTAACTTCCACAGTACTCCATGGGTTTCTGGGGCGTATATCATGTTGTATTCTGTACTTTAGGGAAATTCTCTCTTCCTTACATATGCCTCTCCAGATGTGATCAGATGCCTGATTCATCTTGCAAATAGATGACACCAGGAAGTGTCACCTGATAGCAGGAATAGCCATTGTCTTATTTATTGAATGAATTAGTGCTACATATTCCTACAACTTTTCAGCTTGAAACTTGCATTTGCCCACAAAATTCTATTTCAGACTCATCCTTGCTGCTTTTGCAAATAAATGCAGTTGATAGAATCATTTGCAAACGAAGCAGCGTATCGTACACAGTAAACACTCATCTCAGAGTTGAACGAATCCAGAATGCTTTTTCTCTCCAGGATGCAAGATGTCTTTGTTTTGGTGATTGTTTTACTTTGTTTTCCTTGATGTCTTCTTGTTTACTTACAGGCCACTATTGGCGAGATATGTGCGTCTATGGCCCTGGGGATTTAAAGTGGCTGTATGAATCTTCTAGCATGTTCGCTAACAAGTTGGAGCTGGAGACCTACCCCCTTACTGTGGAATGCCTAGAACTGAGGATTCGAGAGAAAACTCTGAACCAGAGCGAAGTCTCTGTGGAACCAGACTGGTATTTGCTCCAAGAGTAAGAGCTACTTCAAAGAAAATATAAAATATCAACAATTAAAAAAACTAATAACTCTTACTTTGGAATAGGTGCCCTACTTTCCTCATGGATCTTGCCTGGGACACGTGGCAAACCTGGGGACCACCTCTGAGCCTGCAGGAAGAGCATCCCAGGTCACTGTGAACATGGAAGGTGTGAAAGTTCAACTGACTGCAGTTGGTACCTTAGCCATGAGCGCTGTTTCTTAACTCCTAATGTAACTCCTACTCTAACCCATTCTAATCACAGTCTCAAATATTATGTTATATGTTTTGTAAAATGCCCTAATTAAGGAGTGTCCCTTCAGAAATTAGTGGTTTTCCCTGTTTTCCTTATTGAGAGAGGGATCCAGCTTTTTTGTTTGTTTTTGAGACAGGGGCTCACTTTGTCACCCAGGCTAGAGTGCAGTGGCATGACCTCAGCTCACTGCAGCCTCGACCTCCTGGGCTCAAGCCATCCTTCCACCTCAGTCCCCCAAGTAGCTGGGACTACAGGTACACGCCATCATGCCCTGCTAATTTTTTTTGTACTTTTTTGTAGAGATGGGGTCTTGCCATGTTGCCTAGCTAGGTTGTCAGCTGTTTGATATGTAAGTAAGGACAGAAAGTCACCTTAAAGCAAAGTAGCTCCTTCTTGCTGTGCCAAGAACCACTAAATGATTGAACACTTATGTAAGTATAGAACCACGAGTCTTAGTATTCTGGGGAAAAGGTTTAACCAAGCTCTTTGAACTTCGAGAGCTTTGTGAAAATTGGCCTCCAAGAAGAAGCCAGTGGAACACTGTCTTCCTGGGGCTCGAGCCTGTTTGTAAAAGATGATCTGCTAGCAGAATGTAACCCTCAGCCATTACTTTGCCTTAAAAACCTAACTTGCTTTAAAAACCTAATGTATTTATAGCAGCATTATTCACAATAGCCAAAAGGTGGAAGCAACCCAAATGGACAGACAAATGGGTAAATAGAATGTGGTGCACATACATTCGATAGAATATGATTCATCTTGAAAAAGAATTCTGACACATGCCACAACATGGATGAACCTTGAAAACATTGTTACCTGCAATAAGCCAGACATTAAAGATCACATATTATATGGTTCCATTTATATGAAATGTCCAGAATAAACAAATCTATAGAGACAGAATGGTGGCTGCCAGGGGATGGGAGGAGAAGGGGAATGGGGAGTTATTATTCACTGGGTACAAAGTTTCAGTTTGGAAAGAGGAAAAGTTCTGGAGATGGATGGTGGTGATGGTAGCCATCAACATGAATATACTTAACACCACTGAACTGTCCATTAAATCAATAAAGACGCTCCTCAGTAGAAAAGGGACCGATTTTTAAATTTGCGTGATAAACCTTAGCCGTGTTTACTATGCTTTTCCTAGTCACCTCTCCATAACTTGCCTCCCTCAATTTCCTTTGAGATGAAGGTCACAGGTGTTAAAGCCTGAGTTCTAAGCCACCTCTATGAGAGTCATTAATTTTTCCCTGGGTATCTTCTGGGTCTGGGTATGTATACATGCTAATAAATGTCAGCTTTTCTTTTGTTAATCTGTCTTCCATTATGGTGGGGGAGGGCACCTAAAAACTATGAAGGGTATGGGAAAAAATGTTTTTTTCCAACCTACAGAACTGTCGGAGGACTTCAGCCCTAGCAGTGATCCCAAATGAGAAGCCCAGTCTTTATTGCTGATCCTATTTAAAATATTTTCAAAAAGATGACATGATGATTTGGCAGTGAAATAAAAAGGGGACAGAAAACAAATCAGCAGGGCCAAAATTTGAATTTAGTGGAGTCAATATTTGTTTTTAGAGAAATGACCACAAATCTATGTTTTCTTGCCTATTCATTGTAAAGAATGACCAGTTTATTTCATTTATAATAATCTTGTGTGTAAATAAAGTATGATTTTTAATTTTTATTATTTTTGAGACAGAGTCTTAGTCTGTCACCCAGGCAGGAGTGCAGTGGTGCGATCTCGGCTCACTGCAACTTCCGCCTCCTGGGTTCAAGTGATTTTCCTGCCTCTCCTCCCAAGTAGCTGGGACTATAGGCACTGCTACCACATCCAGCTAATTTTTTGTATTTTTAGCAAAGACAGGGTTTCACCATGTTGCCCAGGCTGGTTTTGAACTCCTGAGCTCAGGCAGTCTGCCCGCCTTGGCCACCCAAAGTGCTGGGATTACAGGTGTGAGCCATTGTGCCTGGCCAGTGTGATTTTTAAAAAATGTGTCTAAATGAAGCAAGAGCAGGGGTTGGCCAGATAAATATTTCTGCCTCTAAAGGCCATCCTATCTTTGTCCCAGCTATTCACTTCTCCCATTGTAGTGCAAAAGCAGCCAAAAGGGAAACCAATGAACTTGGCTACTTCTCAATTAAACTTTATTTACAAGAACAGGTGGTTGGATTTGGACCATGAGCTATAGTTTGCAAATCCCTGGTCTAAAAGAACCCCTTTAAAATTTTTAAAATGAAAATTTTAAGTGGTTAAAAAAAGTATTGTCATAGTTTAATTGGCAAGGTTTTATATTTCTTAGCGGTGCAAGAAATTATGGAACTTATATTTAGTAGAATTTTAGATTGAATGACATACAGTATGTATGTCCGTAAGGGGCATAGCATCACACAATAAGGCTTGATGAGAATGAAGAGAAGTTAGCAGTTAGATAATGCTTTTAAAGTTTTGGGCAGCACTGTTAAACTCAGTTTGGTGGGGCAGCATATAACACGGCATGCAGAACTTGATGAAGTTTGAGTAAGAAGCTCTGGATTTAGGGTGTGATGAGGGAGCTCAGGATAAAATGAAAGCATCAGCATACATTCATATGTTTAAAAGGCTCCTAGTGGTGTGGGCTCACAAGAGGATCTCCTGATCTGCAGGTTGCAAAGATCCACGGGGAAAGTGTGGTTTCCTGACTGGGGCTGCACCACACTCACCACTTCCCTTGGCTGAGTTCCTTTGGTTCCAGGCTGTTCCCAGTTGGGTCATCACCCCATCCTTCTTTTCTTTGTTCTCTGTGGGTCAAGTTGTTTGCCTAATCAGTCCCAATGCAAGAACCTGGATATTTCAGTTGAAGGTGCTAAGTTCACTCGCCACTTTCATTCCTCTCCATGAGTACTGCAGCTGCTTCTAATCAGCTATCTTGGCCCCTCTGCCTATGAAGTGACTTTCTAAAGGCAAAACTGACCCCGCCAATCCTATCCTTAAAATTCTTTCATTGTTTCCTAATTTTAATAAAATCCAAATTCTTTACAGTGACCTAAAATCCCTGCCTAAACTTACTTATGACTACCACACTAGCCATGTATTTGCAACAGGGAACAGTCTCAACCTCCAAGGAGGTGAAAATTGGTTCTGGAGGAATAGAGAGGGGATAAGTCTTACTCTTTCCAATGTGTAAGGAACAGGCGTAGATAGAGCACATATAATATATATGGAATTAAAATCTTATAGAGAGGGAACAATTAGAAAAAGAGTGTGAAGAAAAATTGAGAATCCACCTAACCTAATCTCAGGGCTACCATGTTGCTAGGGGCTACCGTATTGTGTAGCACTGGTCTTACCTATAAGATCTATAAGACCAGTGCTATGCAATACGGTAGCCCCTAGCAACATGTGGCTATTGACCACTTGCAACGTACCTAGTGCAAAAGGAAAGGCAAAGGTTTAATTTTGCTTAAATAGAATTTCAATAGCCATATGTGGCTAGTGGCTATTATATCAGACAGCACAGCTCTAGACACATGCTATCTGTATCTATCCATGCTAGAGTCAGGATACTTTGCTAGAAATAACAAAAATTCAGAGTGGATTACACCTAAGTCCAGATAAGAGAGAATCCAGGGTTGGCTAATTCGACAGCTTCGAAGCCATTATCACGGATCCAGGTTCTTTCCATCTTCCTTCACTGCCATCCCGGGTGCATCAGCACTACACTAAGATTGTTCTCCTGATAGTCACAATATGTCTGCCACAGTACCAGGCATCACATCTAAAACTAATGCTCAGTACGAGACTGCAGCTGTCTCCTTTTTGTTCCTCCTTTTAAAAATGAGATAAAACATCACCTCACATCTCGTTAGCCAGAATTTTATCATATGTCTCTACTGATCACTGGCAAGAAGAATGGGATCACTACACATGACTCAGATGCTATGAGAGCCATTCTCGGGAGCTGAATATAGTGCTGATACCCAAAACATATGGCTAGAGGAGGAAGGCTGATCAAGCCAGGCTTTGTAGGAAAGTAGGGACTTGCACACCTTGTATTAAGGAGGGAAGAGTGAAAGCAGAACTTCACCCTCTGTTCTAAGTAGAACTAAGCTGAGCTAGTTGAGAATGTGTTGTTATCCAGAAAGTTTTTAGAGAATTGAAAATTTTCAGGTCTCACCCAAAACTTATTGAATCAAACTCAGGATGGTGCCCAAGAATCTGTGTTTCAACAAGCCTTCTAGGAGATTCTGATACACCCTAGTTTGAAAACGTTGCCCTATTCCAGTGGTTTTCAATTGGGTGTGTGTGTGTGGGGGGAGTGCAATTTTGCCCCTAGGGAACACTTGGCAATGTCTAGAGACATTTTGTTTGTCACAAATGGAGTACAGGGTGCCTCTGGCATCTAGCGGTAGAGGTCAGGACAACGTGCAAGACAGTCTCCCACAACAAGGAAGCGTCCAGCCCCAAATGGCAATAGTGCCAAGGTTGAGAAACCATGAGGCAGAAGAAGCTCCTTTACAGTGGCTGCAGCCCACCTGGCTCTCCATGCAAGTTTCAGGTCTTTGAATCTGGTTAGTGCAAGGATTAGCATCTGTCAAGCACCTTCAGAGCAGAAGAGATGTCAGATTGCCTTTGCCCACAGTCTGATCAACTTCCTTCTAAGCAATCAGTCTTCTAGCGGTCAACTCAGTCAGATCAGTCCCAAGGGTCACTTAAGTATCAGGACACAATGATCATCTTCAGGACACAAAAAAAGACATTTTATAAGGAACACAGTCAATATACACGTTGGCTGGCTTTTATGAGGGCCTAATTCCTCTTAGAAAGTTGACAGGTTGTTTGGTTCAAGCAAACCTTTTCCACACTTTTTTCTTGTTGATTTTGTTGTTGTTGTTGTTGTTGTTTTTGAGACAGAATTTCACTTTGTCGCCCACACTGGAGTGCAATGGTGCAATCTCAGCTCACCTCAACCTCTGCCTCCTGGGTTCAAGCGATTCTCCTGCCCCAGACTCCAGAGTAGTTGGGATTACAGGCGTGTGCCACCACATCCAGCTAATTTTTGTATTTTTAGTAGAGACAGGGTTTCTCCATGTTGGTCAGACTGGTCTCAAACTCCCAACCTCAGTTGATACACCTGCCTCAGCCTCCCAAACTGCTAGGATTACAGGCTTGAGCCACCACACCTGGCCTGATGCTTAGGAATCTTTTTTTTTTTTTTTTTTTTTTGAGACGGAGTTTCACTCTTGCTACCCAGGCTGGAGTGCAGTGGCGCGATCTCGGCTCACCGCAACCTCTGCCTCCTGGGTTCAGGCAATTCTCCTGCCTCAGCCTCCCGAGTAGCTGGGATTACAGGCACGCGCCACCACGCCCAGCTAATTTTTGTATTTTTAGTAGAGACGGGGTTTCACCATGTTGACCAGGATGATCTCGATCTCTTGACCTCGTGATCCACCCGCCTCGGCCTCCCAAAGTGCTGGGATTACAGGCATGAGCCACCGCGCCCGGTCGCTTAGGAATCTTTCTGTTCAATTGAGTCTCTACCACCACATCTAGCTCTCTCTCATGGGGCCAGGAAATGGAGATCAAGCATTCGGTTCTAACTAACATTCTCTAGACAAGACACAAGCAAGAAACCTTACATTACCTATGGATATAATTTCTAAGAGAGTCTGAAGTTAGAGAAAGCAGCAAAGCATATCAGAGTAGACAGTGCCACAATCAGCTCAGCTCAAACCCACCTCATATTAAGCCTATTTTCCAAGGGTTTTGTAGCACAGGTTGTTCTGCCATGATCACCACATGAGCTCTTCTGGCACTTACCTAATATAACACACTTCCAGGAACAGATGTGCTGGTGAAGTTTATTTACATTAATGTTCTCTGATGTCAATCACATGTAAGCCCTGGACACTAGTTTTTATATACAGAATTCAGTATCTTCCTGGGAGAACTACTTTTCCCCAAAAACAAAAGAAGACACAATTAGTATGATAACTGGGGAGCTTAATGAACATCTTGCTTCACTTTGGGGTCTCATCTGGAATTTCTGAGTAAACTGTATCCAGTGGCTGCCAGTGGCAATTCATGAGGGAGTCGTAGAGTTCTTCACTTTTCACCATAAACTCTTGGTTTGATTCCTCAATATTCAAATGAAGATGTGGATCTGCAGAAGTCAATAATGGACATGAAAGAAATAGAGTTTTACAGGACACAGAAATAGTTTAAAATTAGAAAGTTTTTAGAAAGCATTTGCAGGAAGTACTGCAGACAGTAAAGGTTAAAATTCTTAAATTGCATATTTCCTTTCAATAAGCCTTGAAAATAGAAATTTAAGCTATAAAAGTAGTAGTATTGGCCAGGCATGGTGGTTCACATCTAATCCCAGCACTTTGGGAGGTAGAGGTGGGTGGATCACCTGAAGTCAGGAGTTCAAGACCAGCTTGGCCAACATGGTCTCTACTAAAAATACAAAAATTAGCTGGGCATGGTGGTAGATGGCTGTAATCCCAGCTACTCAGGAGGCTGACGCAGGAGAACAGGTTGAACCAGGAAGTCAGATGTTGCAGTGAGCTGAGATTGCGCCACTGCACTTACAGCCTGGAAAAAAGGGAAACTCTGTCTAAAAAAAAAAAAAAAAAAAAAAGTAGTAGTATCAACAGACTCAATGAGCATCTGAACTTGAAAGAGAGGGTGAAAAAAATGGACATATTTGAGATGCTTGGGGGATGGATTCAACTTAGGAGGAAAGAAGAAAAGGAAGGTCAAGAACGACTGCCATGTTCCTGGCATGAACCAGATAGATACAATGCTAAACAGTGAGCCAAGCCAAGGGCCCCTAGGACAGGCGTTTATAAAAATAAACATGCTACTTTAACTGCTCGGTTAACAGATTCATGTTAGTGAATAAATTTTACATAGCAACTAATTCAGAAACACAGGATGGCTTGACCTTCTATCTCTGAAACCTGGAACCCTATGACGAGGTGGTATTATGTTATTGCAAACGTATTAGGCCTGGATTTTCAGCCCAAGTTGCCAGGATTCCACAGCTTTCCAAGGCTTTCAAGGTCATTAATTTTTTTTAATGTAACCTGTTTCTTTCCTCTCCTTGTACTGAATGTAATGGAAGAAGCCTTTTGTGTTTTCCTTTGTAATTTTTCCAAGCCTCAGTTCCTTGAGGATCATAATTTGCTTCCTAACACTCACATGGGTTCATGCTATTCATCTGTATGCCTATTAGGGAATCAATCTTGGCCCCACAAAATTCTTCTGTTAAAAGCCTAACCCCCACAATGTGAAGGCATTTGGAGATAGGGACTCTGGGAGGTTAGATGAGGTTATGAGGGTTGGGTGCTGGTATCATAGAAGTAGTGCCCCTATAAAAAGAGACAGCAGCCTGAGCACAGCAGCTCACACCTGTAACCTCAACACTTTGGGAAGCTAAGGCCAGTGGATCACTTAAGTCTTGGAGCTTGAGATCAGCCTGGGCAACATACTGAGACCCATCATTACAAAATATAAAATTAATTTTAAAAGAAGATAAAGCAGAGAAATTGCTCACATTCTCTCCTGCAATGCATGCATAAAGAGGTCAAATGTGGAAACAGGAAGAAGGCTGCTGTCTGCAAGCCAAGAACAGAGCCCTCACCAGAAATCAAATTAGCCTGGATACTGGATTTCCAGCCTCCAGAACTGCAAGAAAATAAATTTCTGTTTAAACTACCCATTCTGTGGTATTTTGCTACAGTAACCTTAAAAGACTAATGCAGTACCCTTCTATATTTATCATTTTAGAACCAAAATGGTCAAATCGGCCTCAGGCATCATATAAATTTCATGAGCTACTTCTCATTTTTCTTCACTGGAATCGCTGGTGACTGTGCTGTCTGATTCTTTTTTTTTTTCAGACCTGGAGAACATCTGAAACACAGGAACCTAAAAAGAAGTGCAGTGAATTTTGTGTGTTGAGGAATAGGGTCCAGGGGATTCGGTACTCTTTGGCAAATTACCAGAGCATGATTGCATTTCTTTTTTTTTTTTTTTCTTTTTTTTTTTTTTTTTTTTTTTTTTT